TGCGCATAACATCACTAATAGAAATGTGCATAGTCACATCGCTCATATTCCACACATACAGTCATGGCCGAAATTGTTGGCACCCTTGATATTTCTCCAGGAAATCATGTATTTCTCACGAAACGTATTGCATTAACACATGTTTTGCTATACACATGTTTATTCCCTTTGTGTGTATTGGGACAAAACAAAAAAAGGGAGGAAAGAAAGCAAATTCGACATAATGTCACACAAACCTCCAAAAATGGGCTGGACAAAAGTATTGGCACCCTTTCACAACTGCGGATAAATAAGAATGTTACAAGCATGTGATGCTCCTGTAAACTCACCTGGGGCAAGTAACAGGTGTGGGCAATATAGAAATCACACCTGAAAGCAGATAAAAAGGAGAGACGTTCACTTAACCTTTGCATTGTGTGTCTGTCTGTGCCACACTAAGCATGGACAACAGAAAGAGGAGACGAGAACTGTCTGAGGACCTGAGAACCAAAATTGTGGCAAAATATCAACAATCTCAAGGTTACAAGTCCATCTCCAGAGAACTAGATTTGCCTTTGTCCACAGTGCGCAACATTATCAAGAAGTTTGCAACCCATGGCACTGTAGCTAATCTCCCTGGTCGTGGACGGATGAGGAAAATTGATGAAAGATTGCAACGCAGAATAGTCCGGATGGTGGATAAGCAGCCCCAAACATGTTCCAAAGACATTCAAGCTGTCCTGCAGGCTCAGGGAGCATCAGTGTCAGCGCGAACTATCCGTCGACATTTAAATGAAATGAAACGCTATGGCAGGAGACCCAGGAGGACCCCACTGCTGACACAGAGACATAAAAAAGCAAGACTACAGTTTGCCAAAATGTACTTGAGTAAGCCAAAAGCCTTCTGGGAAAACGTCTTGTGGACAGATGAGACCAAGATAGAGCTTTTCGGTAAAGCACATCATTCTACTGTTTACCGAAAACGGAATGAGGCCTACAAAGAACAAAACACAGTACCTACGGTAAAATATGGTGGAGGTTCAATGATGTTTTGGGGTTGTTTTGCTGCCTCTGGCACTGGGTGCCTTGACTGTGTGCAAGGCATCATGAAATCTGAGGATTACCAAAGGATTTTGGGTCGCACTGTAGGGCCCAGTGTCAGAAAGCTGGGTTTGCGTCCAAGATCCTGGGTCTTCCAGCAGGACAATGACCCCAAACATACGTCAAAAAGCACTCAGAAATGGATGGCAAAGAAGCGCTGGAGAGTTCTGAAGTGGCCAGCAATGAGCCCAGATCTAAATCCCATTGAACACCTGTGGAGAGATCATAAAATTGCTGTTGGGAAAAGGTGTCCTTCCAATAAGAGAGACCTGGAGCTGTTTGCAAAGGAAGAGTGGTCCAAAATTCCGGGTGAGAGGTGTCAGAAGCTTATTGATGGTTATAGGAAGCGACTGATTTCAGTTATGTTTTCCAAAGGGTGTGCAACCAAATATTAAGTTAAGGGTGCCAATACTTTTGTCCAGCCCATTTTTGGGGTTTTGTGTGACATTATGTCATATTTGCTTTTGCCTCTGTTTTATATTTGTTCCAATACATACAAAGGGAATAAACATGTGTATAGCAAAACATGTGTTAATGCAATACCTTTTTTGTGTGAAATACTTGATTTTCAGGAAAAATATCAAGGGTGCCAACAATTTCGGCCATGACTGTATGTGAGATGGGGAAACAGCTCTCATTGTTTGAATACTGCTTGTGTGGAGTAAATTAAATGTTTTGACTGACATTCTGCAGTTTAGCCACAAGATGTCACTGTTTTTCTAACAGCCTCAGACTGCATTGATATTTGTATATTCATGAAGAGGTGGAGTTTTCACACTGAGTTCAGGGAACAGGAAGAGGAGAGAGAGCAGCCATGTTTAGAGGGTGGTGAATGCAGGGGCCGTGTGAGCTGAGAAACTGATGACATCCAGGTGTGGAAGCATCCCTCCGGAACCAGAGCTGCAGCTAAGTGAAGCTGATGAGATTGCTGCCAGGAAGCTGATGAGATTGCTGCCAGTAATGCTGATGAGAGCAGAGGAACTAAGCAACATATACAGCGAGACTGCAAGCTTGTTGGAGAGACATTTGTTCTGTTCAGAGTCACCAGCGGATGAAAAGCAGACCCGGGTCGGTATGATCGTGCACGCACCTCATTTCAGTGTGGCGCCTTGAGACTGAGTCCAGGCCTATAGTTAGTTAGGGTCTCTGTTTGTGTCAGGCCACAAGTGTTATTACTGATTATTGGAAGGTCTCCACAACTTAAAGTGACATATCACATTGGAGAGCTGATAAAATCCTACAAACTCAAGCCAGGCTGGCGTTTTGCTCAGAAGGAATACTCAGGCACGTGCTACAGGACCAGTTATGGGATGGGGAATACTGTAGATTTGTGTAAGATTGTAAGCTGTTGTGCTGCACCACAGGCTAGCCCATACCATACACCCATACAGTGATTCTTGCTCTTTTAGGGTAATAACAGGTAAGGTGTGGCAGCTTAGTTGTGCCCGCCAGTAGGTAAATTACTTCACTTTCTACCATCATCATCAGAAGGCACCGTGCTGTGCAGCACAAGGGTCTCAGCCTTGGGCTGGGTGTATGTACATTTATTGTATGTTCCCAGCATTTGTGGTTGTGTTTACTTGCCACATCTAAGTAAAATTCTGTTGTGGCAAAAGCTGGTGTTGGGGTTGCTTTCCTCGTTTGTGACTTCACTGTATCCTGGGGAGCCCCCCCGGTACACAGCTGACACGTACACATGTGCATGCACGTGGGAGAGTGCCTACAGTTTTTGCAGCTAGATAGGCCATTGAAAGGATGCTCTTGCTCACTGTCAGTGCTGATTAGTCTTCAGCTTTTCCTGTGTCCTGAGTGTATCTTGGACCTGATTTTCTACTCGCGGAACGCATGCTGGCTGTAGTACAGCAAACGGCGTGGCGCAGTGTCTGTGATTCGATCTGTGTCTTATTTTGGTGCCTGGGGGGGGGCACAATACCATGTAAGTGCAATACTTTTATGTACTTATATTGATCCCAGTACACATATCACACTATGGGAGCGATCTTTTCTCTTCTTTTTTGATCACATTGGTCTTGATACCCCTTTGTATCATCAGAATATTGCAAGAGTCTGTGCTGGTTTTTCCATTCCCCTTCAATATGATGATGTTATGAGGATATTGAACAAGCTGGTTATGATGGGCATCTGGCAAGTTGCCAACATCAGTACACGTGGTAAAGGATGATTGGATCACCTGTATTGCATGTGTTTTGTGGGCACATGGAAAAGAAGTTCTCTATCAGTACATCACTGCACTGATTCTATTCAATGGACTTATTTACTTTATGTAATTATATGAATGGACACTTTACCTATTTATTTTATGTAATTATATGAATTATTTGTTATTTCACTGATTTATTTGGTTCACTCATGAGTAGTTGATATGTATAATATTTATGTATGTGTTGTGCATTATTTAGAGATTACATATATTAACCGCTTCCGCGCCACCCTATAGCAGAAATACTGCTACAGGGCAGCACGGCTGCGCAAAATCACGTATAGATACGTGTTTTCGCCGTTACGGGTAGGTTGTGCGTGCACTCCCTGCTTGCGCCGCCATTCATGGCCTCGGCTGTCAATCACCAGGTCCAGGCTGATGATTCCTTGCCAGCACCCTGGGATCGCTGAGTATCACCGACGGGAAAGAGACTTATAAACAACACAGTGCTCTCCCCTGTCAGCTCAGTAGTGTAAAGCACACACACAGCACACAGTTAACTCTTTAGAGAACCCAGATGTTAACCCCTTCCTGCCCAGTGCCATTAATACAGTGTCAATGCTTTTTATTAGCACTGATCACTGTATTGGTGTCACTGGGGATGTCAGTGACACCAAGTCAGTCCCCCCCCCCAGTGTCAGAATGCCCACTGCAGTCCCACAATAATTCGCCGATTGCTGCCATTACTAGTAAAACTTTTTTTTTTAATCCAGTATATAGACCGTAATTTGTAAATGCTATAACTTTCATGTAAACCAATTAATTTATACTTATTGGGATTTATGTTTTAGCAGTACTTTCCTCACACTGTGACAGCGTAAGGAAAGTGCAGCCGATAACCGGCAACTGCATTTACCTGTGATCTGCTGTGTCAATTGCAGCACTGCTTGATGTGTTATAATGAACAATAGACTGTGAAAAATATCTCATAGTGGAGCCACCGCTTATTGGTAACCTTTGAACACTGTTTTTTACATGAGTGCAGTTTCTTAGCTTTTTGATTTATATATATATATATATATATATATATATATATATATATATATACACACACACACTATATTGCCTGTATTGGTCAGCCTGCTTTCACACACATGAACGTAATGGCTTCCCAGTCTAGTCCGTAGGGTTCAATATTGAGTTGGCCCCGCCCTTTGCAGCTATAGCAGCTTTAACTCTTCCGGGAAGGCCATCCACAAGGTTTAGGAGGGTGTCTATGGGAATGTTTGACCATTCTTCCAGAAGTGTATTTGTGAGGTCAGACATTGATATCGGACGAGAAGGCCTGGCTCACAGTCTCCGCTCTAATTTATCCCAAAGGTGCTCTATCAGGATGAGGTCAGGACTCTGTGCAGGCCAGTCAAGTTCCTCCACCCCAAACTGGCTCATCCACGTCTTTATGAACCTTGCTTTGTGCACTTGTGTGCAGTCATGTTGGAACAGGAAGGGGCCATCCCCAAACTCTTCCCACAATGTTAGGAGCATGAAATTGTCCAAAATAACTTGGTATGCTGACACTTTAAGAATTCTGTTCACTGGAACTAAAGGGCCAAGCCCAACCCCACACCATAGTCCCCCCTCCACCAAACTTTACACTTGGCACAATGCAGTCAGGCAAGTACTGTTCTCCTGGCAACCACCAAACCCAGACAGATCCAGAAGCGTGATTGGTCACTCCAGAGAACACATTTCCACTGCTCTAGAGTCCAGTGGTGGTGCGCTTTACACCACTGCATCCAATGCTTTGCATTGCACTTGTTGATGTAAGGCTTGAATGAAGTTGTTGGCCATGTAAACCCATTCCATGAAGCTCTCTATTATTGTGTTAATCTGAAGGCCACACCATGTTTGGAGGTCTTTAGCTATTGACTCTGCAGACAGTTGGCAACTGCTGCGCATTGTGCGCTTCAGCATGCGCTGACCCCGCTCTGTCATTTTACGTGGCCTACCACTTGGTGGCTGAGTTGCTGTTGTTCCCAGTTGCTTCCACTTTGTTATAATACCACCAACAGTTGAGCGTGGAATATTTAGTAGCAAGGAAATGTCCCAGATGGACTTATTGCACAGGTGACAACCTATCACGGTACCATGCTTGAATTCACTGAGCTCCTGAGAGTGTCCCATTCTTTCACAAATGTTTGTAGAAGCAGTCTGCATGCCTAGGAACACATGAATCCAACAATTTGGAGGGGAGTATGTATATTTATGTCATATGATACGAATTAGCAGTCAAGTGCTGCCAGAAAAATTAGGGACCAGAACACAGCATACCAGAAACTGCTGATCTTTTATTCTCAAATAATCAAGCAAAATTACATTTGCAAGAGGAATGAACTAACAAACAATGTGAACAAATGGCAGTTTGAACTGGGAGAGCATGATGGCAGCCAAATGTATACAAATTGTTTAGAACAGTAACCAAAGTGAATACCCATAAAAATGAAATTTAATGGAGAGTCTAAAATACCTGATAATCTGCATCTGTATCTATTCTTCAATATGGCCAACAGTAGGGAAATAACTTGAGTCCAGAGTGCAAGTGTTTATGTGACTGGGAGAGGAAGGGAGAGGAAGGGAGATTGCCGCCACAGTGTCAACTGTTGTTGGCCACAGAGGCGTGGAGGTACAGGTGCTGATTAGCAGCCATTTTAGATGTTCCATTCACTTCCAATTTTGAATTTACCTTCTGATTACTGTTCTATACATTCTGCGTACAATTGGCTGCCATCCTGTCCTCTTGCTACATTGGATTTCCAATTTTATTTGTATTCATCATCTGATTACTGTTCTATTCATCCCTTGTACAATTGGCTGCCATCCTGCCCTCCCCTTACATTAGAATTCCAGTTTATTTTTTGTTTTATTTGATGGTTAAATTGTTCTTATTGTTTCAAGAGAGACATTGACAATTGCCCAAACTGAGATGAGACAAATAAGTGGTAAAAAAAAGCATGAAATTGGACACCTGGCAACATATAAAAACATAGCAAAGAGAACGTACAGTCATTGGGAGTACATGATTATAGGCTTTATAATCAGATATTGCTACCTCCAACATGAGTGTGTGGATTGCTTCTGCATTTCCCAGTACAATAATAGGAAACGGAGAGATACTATGAGGAGTGTAATAGGAACAGGTAAGGTTCAAAGGTTCTCCAAAGAGCAGAAAGAAAGAAGCTAGTAATAGAAAATACAAAAAATGAGGGAGGGGTGGTTGGGGGGTCTCCAGAGGGTCATGGAAGCGCTATTTTAATTTTCTCTTTGTACTGTGTATTATAAACAATTGCCATTCTTTTTGTTGGAAAAAAATGTTGTCACCTTTTTTCATCATTTGTTCCAGTTCAGATTTCCCGATGGTGAGAACTGTGGACCATGCCTGTGCATTGGTACTGCCACTTACTGGAAGCAAATATGACAAAATAATAAGTACGATTCCCCTGTAGCACTACCCCCTTAGGAGTTGCTGAGTATTTGGGTCCCCCTATAATCCTGCACAGCCAGGCAACATGCATTTTCACACAGACCTGCATCCAGGAGTCAGTAACCAGTCCTTGAGCTTTGTTTTTAAAGTTTTATTAGGGGAATTTCAACTTGGCTGGGGTTAGGGGTGTACGGGATGGCCAGGGAACAACAACTGAGGACAACTTCCTGGCAACTATGTACAAGTCCATGAGAAAGGATCTTCTAGGAGAGCTCTTCAGCCTCTCCTGGTGTACCACCCCAGACCCCAGATAAGTCCTATTCTTTACCCAGCTGTCTGGTGGAATCCTTGGGCAAGTGGGTCCAGAGGCTACTGCTTAAAAGGGTTACAGTCCCAGATATAGAGCTAGTCAGGTTTCCCACATGAATGTTACTTCCCCCATTGGGCCCAGGGGGTGCATGGGTACTCACTCTGTCCTTCTCCTATGCTGCTGATGAGTTTGTGGCTCCTACCAGGCCTTTTAGCTGGGCCGCTCCTTCTCTACTGCGCAGGTGGACCTCGCTCTAGGGGCTGGTTAATCCCTGAGTTTTCTTCCTTCCAAGCTCCTGGTCTGTAGGTTGGCCCAATCCCACTTTGCTCCCTCCCAGGCTCCTACATCTCTGCCTCTCTCACATCTTCCACCGGAAACTCTCTTGTATTTAAGCAGGCTCACTTACCTTTAAGGGTTGTCCTTGTCCCTTGCCAAGCCTCCTGTTGGGGGTTGGCTAGGCTCCCTCAAAAATGCAGATCAGCCACTCCTCAGATCCACCCACTGCTTCTAGACCTTTCTCCAGGGTTCTAGAGCAAGGGAAAAATCCAGAGGGCTGGTCTGCAGAGCCTCTCAGTTCTGACCAAAGTTTGACCCCTGCTAGATATCACACCCAGGCTAGGCCTTCCTAGCTAACAACTGAGGTCTAACTCCCCTTAGCTGACTAGGAGGGCCCTACACCCCTTTCAGGAAATATATTCATAAAGATCACCATCTATTTATTACAATAGCAATGAAACATTACTAGTCTTTGTAGAATCTGCAACATTACTTCTAAAATGCCCGCTGCTTATTGAATCTCCGGAAATCATCAGGGGCCTGCCCCAGAGTGCTTTCCAGCTTGGCAACCATGTGTCAAAAGAAAAGGGATGGGCTCCACACCAATGATGTCACACTGCTAAAACAATTTATTCCATCAACATGAGTTTACAGCATGACACCCTGTCTGTCTACCACCTACTTCAGTGAGTTTTGTCTTAAGGAGGCTCATTACTTATCGTTGTGTTACCAAGCCTTGTGTTGTATCATATTCCACTAAAAGTTAAGATGATAAAATGCTGATACAGGAGTCAGGATGAGAAATAAGTGAGCTAAGCCAGGCTGTTGACAGAATCAAGCATTGATGTACATGTCACAGTTTATTACTCCAGCCTTTCTCAACCAGGGTGCCCAGGCACACTGGGGTGCCTTGGCAAAATGCCTAGAATTGTATACAAGCCAGAAGGTGGATCAATCCTGCATTTTAGTACACAAAGACACAGGTTTTCATTGTTCACTTATATGACCTTCTAGCTGCCAGCATCCTAACAACCAATGATATCATCAGTTGATAAGGAGGACATTGGGTCCATGCACATCATCTTTGTTTGGCCCCCCTGCCCCTCTCCATCAGCACTGAGGGAGAGAAAATGATGAGTGAGACACACTGGAGTACTAGTTGGTACCAGTGTGGAAAGGTATATTTGCTTTGGAAGAATAAATCACCTCTAACATTGGGTGTACTATATGTGTTTAGAATAGTTTTCACATTTTAGATTTGGGTGGCTTGAGATTGTGCAGAATTTAAAGGGTCCCTTGAGATTGTTCATAATTTTAAAGGGTGACTTGACTGAAAAAAGGTTGAGAAACACTGTCTTACTCTATCCATCGAAACTTAACTCCCTTCCTGCATCCATCAGTCCGTCATGTGTTAATCATTCATTTCCCCTCCAACTATCCTTCCTTCCTTTCTTTATCATTCTTTCATCCCTCCTTCCATCCAGCCTCCCTCTGTTTTGGTGAGCCTGTGCAAATTGTAGCCTCTGTTTCCTGTTCTTAGCTGACAGGAGTGTCACCCCGTGTGGTCTTCTGCTGCTGTAGCCCATCAGCTTCAAGGTTCGACGTGTTGTGTATTCAGTGATGGCATTCTGCATACCTTGGTTGTAATGAGTGGGGTATTTGAGTTATTGTTGCCTATCATCTCGAACCCTGCCCATTCTCCTCTGACATCAACAAGGCATTTTTGTCCACACAACTGCCGCTCACTGGATATTTTCTCTTTTTCGGACCATTTTTCTGTAAACCCTAGAGATTGTTATGCGTGAAAATCCCAGGAGATCAGCAGTTTTTGAAATACTCAGACCAGTCCATTTGGCACCAACAACCATGCCACATTCAAAGTCACTTAAATCTCCTTTTTCCCCATTCTGATGATTGATTTGAACTTCAGCAAGTCATCTTCGCCACATCTAGATGCTTAAATGCAATGAGTTGCTGCCATGTGATTGGCTGATTAGCAATTTGTGTTACCAAGCAATTGAACAGGTGTGAGTGATATACAAAAACCACCTGCACCAATGGATACCAAAAAACTATTGTGCAGGTGCCAACTCTAGCTCCAAAGGACATAACAAACATGTTACCAATGGCACTTGCTCCCCACCACCAACTACAACAAATGTTTAAATGCACTCATATACCCATATATTTTAAACATATCCATATATTTTAAACAAATATAGTGCAAAACACAAATGAAATGCTATGTACAAAAGTTCCAAACCCTACATAGTCCATAAATTCAAAGCCCATACAGTAAACTCAATTCAAAGTGAGAAATGTTTCATATTCCACCATTCCCACTGCCAAGTGATCCACCACCAATCGTCAAGGTACTCTCCTCACTCACTAGATGCCAATGACCTCCTTGTTGTGCAACAAGAAAAGTCATATAGCACTTTGTGGTCACCCCAGGACCTCCTTAGTCATCTCTCCCCATTGTCTTCTCCTCTCCAGATGTTCAGATGATACTCCAATAGTGTATTAGATGGAATATAATAAAAAAAAAAAGAAGTATCCTCACCGTAAAAATGTATTGTGGTTAAAAAATTCTATAAAACGATTTGCCCATAAGCATAAAGATATAAGCAATCCTATGAGCAAACACTCTACCGATTGTTTAGAGAGCTGCAAAACGTTCAGCATGCGCTCCATGTAGGACTGGAAGTGTTGCAGCGGAAGTTCTGAATGACGCAATTCATCATCAAAGCGTGACATCTTCAGAAACTTCTGGTTCAAGCTTGAGTACTGCAAATACCTTTAACCACAATTACAAGTTGGATGTAGCCGTGAGCCAGAGTTGTGGCATGAGTGTACCAGTCCTTTCTTCTACGTAACACATCATTAAACTTATTTGGCAGTATCTGGTGTTGTGTGGTTTAGGCTGGTTAAGTCCCATCATGTGCTGTGTGGTACATAAACAATAAGGTGAAATATCACTGCTATGTTGGAGGGGATGTGGGGCAAGGGGGACAATGGCACATATATGGTGGGATTGTCCAAAAATCCAGGTGTTCTGGCAAGATGTAATTCAATATATACAGGAGATTTTGGGATATCAATTCAGAAGGATCCATGGGTGTGCCTTTTTTTTTTATAGACGGAGGTCCT